ACCATGATTATAACAACCACGACTATGATAACTAACCAATACGACCATAGTTGTAGCCGACCACTTAGTTATAACAACCACGACCGCTGATTAGCAGCAACCACGACCGCCAGTATAACAGCCACGACCATGATTATATACCAAGCACGACTGCTTAATGTAACAGCCACGACCATGATTATAACACTCGACCATGATTATAACAACCGACTATGATTATAACAGCCGACAATGATCATAACAACCACCCACTATGATCATAACAACCCGACCATGATTATAATAACCACGACCATGATTATAACAACCACGACCACCAATTATAACAACCACGACCATGAACATAACAGCACGACTATGATGGCCGCATACGAACCATGATTATAGCACTCACGACCATGATTATAACGCTCACGACCATGATTATAACAGCCAAGACTATGATTATAACGATCACGACAATGATCTTAGCAACCACGACCATGATTATAACAGCAAAAGACCATGATTGTTACAACCACGACCACTTTAGTTATAACAACCACGACCATTATTACTAACACTCACGACCATGATAATAACAACCACGACTAGTTATAACAACCACACCACTATGATCATAACAGCCACGACCATGATTATAACAACCGACCATGATTATAACACCCACGACAATGATTATAACAACCACGACCATGATTATAGCACTCATTACGATTATACTTTTCGACCATGATTATAACAGCCAGACTATGATTATAACGATCACGACAACCACGCCAATGATTATAACAAGCACGACCATGATTATAACACTCACGACCATGATTATAAGAGCCACGACTGATTATAATAACCACGACTCTGATAATAACAACCACGTCCATGATTGAATAAACGACCATTATTATAACAAATACGACTATAATTATAACAACCACGACCATGATTATAACAACAGCGACACTGATTATAACAACCACGACCATGATTAAAACAACCACGACTATGATTATAACAACCACGACTATGATTATAACAACCACGACTATGATTATAACAACCACGACCATGATTATAACAACCACGAATATGATTATAACAACCACGACCTTGATTATAACAACCACGACCATGATTAAAACAACCACGACTATGATTATAACAACCACGACTATGATTATAACAACCACGACTATGATTATAACAACCACGACCAAGATTAAAACAACCACGAATATGATTATAACAACCCCGACCTTGATTAAAACAACCACGACCTTGATTATAACAACCACGACCATGATTATAACAACCACGACCATGATTATAACAACCACGACCATGATTATAACAACCACGACCATGATTATAACAACCACGACCATGATTATAACAACCACGACCATGATTATAACACTCACGACCATGATTATAACAACCAAGACTATGATTATATCGATCGCGACAATGATTATAACAACCACGACCATGATTAAAACAACCACGACCATGATTATAACAACCTAGGACCATGATTGTAACAACCACGACCATGATTATAACAACTACGACTATGATTATAAAACCACGACCATGATTATAACAACCGAGACACTGATTATAACAACCACGACCATGATTAAAACAACCACGACTATGATCATAACCACGACCATGATTATAACAACCTCGACCATGATTATAACAACCACGACCATGATTATAACAACCACGACCATGATTATAACAAACACGACCATGATTAAACCACAACCATGACTATAACACTCTCTAACATGATTATAACAAACAAGACTATGATTATATCGATCACGACAATGATCATAACATCCACGACCATGATTATAACAACAAAGACCATGATTATTACA